ATGTCCTCTTTCATCTGTAGGTCAGCGGGATAAATTCCACCTAGTCCTGGAGATTTGTAGGGTTGGAGAGATCTAATCGCCCATTCCACCCTTTTGTGACAAACAATTTTGCTGATATCAACAAACCACTTACTTCCTTCCTGTATGGGTTTTTCGTGTCCAGTGGAACACCCCGGAGAGTCTGTGCTCATGAGGGTATCCAGCATTTCTTCACAAGATGTCGTCCATTCACCATTTGGTTTCTGGATGTAATCTGGGATTGCAGAGTTCTTGGGGAGGACTTTCCTAAGTCGATTGCCTTCCGCATTTCCTTCAATTTCACTCCTTCCTATATTCTCGTTTTGCCTTTCTTACACAGGTTTCAAAAGACTTTTAACAAACAAACAGGAGCCGGTTCTTTTTTCTGATTCTCTTCCTTAATACAGAGATTTCATTATTACTTTATTTGGGTTTTTTCTTCCTCGAAGAGATGGATAGAGGGGTGTTACAATCTTTTGCTACAAAGTCGACTGCTTTGTCAATTTTAGACGACGAATCAAATTAACCGAGAGAAGCAGACCCTGTGCTAGATGTCACCGCTTCATCAGGTCTTAACAATAAGTGTAACTTATCAGGAGAAGCACCAAAGGATGCTGTCAGGACTTTCTTAAACATCGTCCAGTCAGTCCTTTTCCCATTCATGTATGCAGCGATCAATGGAGTTCTCATGGTGAGATTAAATGATCAAAAAAAGGCTCATTGACTACTACGTTTCTGATCTGGTCGCAAAGTGAGTTCGAAACTACAGTGATATCAAGAACCTTCTCTACAGGCCTATTCTCACTGTCATCGGTAAAGCAAATTTTGTTACTTTTTTTTAACACCCGAAATTGAATTTGGTATTCTGGCGAACTCGTTACAAAGTAAATTTTGTTACCTCGACAGAATATGCCTGCTGGTAGAAGTTACGAAGGTTGGTTTGTTTCCAAAGTAACAGATTTCTAGCTCGTTTTCTAAAATAAAATCAAGTAGGGACTCACCTCGGATGTTTGTATCGTTGGATCCCCATACCGTGTGATGAGAATTGACATCGGCTTCAACAAGCAGCGGAACCTTGTTGTGGTTCACGTCTTTTACTGCTTCCTGTAGCCAGGTCGGTGGTAGAATTGTTATATTGTGAAAGAAGAAAATAAAAAAAGTTTTTCTTAACCAGAATACAAGCCCTGGGCCAACCTTTTCCCATAAGACATCGTATAGCAAAAAATATTTCACTCACAACTTCAAACGACAATTCGGAATTCATGATGATGGAATTAATGAGTTCTTGGCTTTGTCAACTAACTTAAGGCCATCGGTGCCAATAAATAGTGTAGGTAACTTGGAGGCCAACATTTTATCCTTACAAATGGTAAAGTAAATTTTTCGTATACCATGTTAATATTGAGCTCAAGTCTTCATTAAGTTGTTGACATACTAGCTGAATCGAATCAAATTCACCACAGTTATATAACTGTACTTCATCAGTAAGGGGATGTAAGCGTGAATGAGTGCATGTACTAAAAATGTCGTTAATGAAAATACTAAATAATAGAGGACCTAATATAGATCCCTGAGAAATTTTCGAGCATCACCCATATCAGCCTCTCAAGCATCGGTCTCATTCGTTTTTTGTCTGCGTCTTGCTACCTTCTTCAGCTCTCTCTGTATGTATCCCCCTCCAAGGTTGTGGATTAGGCAGTCTCTTTTCCCTCTCCCGCTGCTCGACATGCCGAAAATCTGTTGTTTTCGTAGCGGCGGTATATATAGTGTTTGAGATGACCTTCCCTTATATCGTGTTACTGATGACTGGCCTCAGAATGCTGGTGTGCAAGCCGAGTAGCAAACCCTTCGGATGTCTGTTCTGATTGCAGCCTATCGACGTGGAACCTTCCTTGTATTTGCTGACGGGCGTTCATTGATATACAAAGGCGGGAGCGTATCTTCGCTGCGACAAGATAGTGATACGAGCCGATGTTAGAACCTCGGAATGTACGCCAGAACACAGGAGACATATCGTCCATGTATCACAACGTGATCGATATGCTTGTGAGCTTTTTAATTTGATTGAATTTTCTTACTTTGGAATCTAGACAACTTTAACACATTTAGGGGTGTTTCGTCGTACATACTGAATACTCCGATAATTATTCCGAAGATAACTTTGCCCACCCTGGGATTGAAGACGCTAAGCACAATTTTTGAGTATGCTCCAGGCGCTCATAAAAGGCAAGCTTGGTCACATCGTCCTTCACTTCCATCGTGAACAAGGAAAATTCATAAAAGGTAAAGTTATTCCAAAGAAAATCCATAGACTCACCCTTAGCGAGTTTTGTTTAAGAAATCGTAGAAGCATGCCTTATCCCAGTCACTTGGGGAAAAAGTACTCGTTTCTTACGGATGCAAGTGTCAGTTGCATGTTTCTTCTGCTGTTTCGATAATAAAAAAACTTTCTACTAAAATATGTTGGGGTGAGGGGTGAGGTGAACTATAATCATCATTTACTTAATATTATACTTTAGCCGTGCTCACCACTATGCACGTATGAGCATTCCAGCGGTTGAGCGATCCAGGCCCTTCATTGGCCGCATGCATCAAGATGTTCATTCGTCGTAGATTATATTAAATGCGGAAAAAAATATATTAAAATGCCAATAACTTGAAGATGGAAATAGTAAAGAAATGAACACCGTTAAAATTTTTTATACCACTCTTACTACACTTTTCCTTGATATATGATGGATTTAGGCTCGAACCTACGCGCGGTGCGAAGAAATATTTTTGCGATATCTAGGTCTGAATATAACCAATACAATATGTAATATATACAATACAAATGATGCTTTAAAACTGCTGAGGCGGCTTTCGGCCAGCTCCTTCTCCAATTCGTAGTGTGTGTCTTGATATTTTTCTAATTAATTTAAACTAAGCGAACTGCTGAAGGATTCTTAGGAGTATATTTTATTTCATGTTGAAACTGCCTGTCGTATAATCAATAAAATACCTACATTTTATTTTGAAATATGATAGATACTCGTATTAAAACATTTGTCTCCTTAACACTCTTCAGGCCTCAAGAGTAAAATGTTTCCTAAATCCTTTTGGCGAGTGTTAATAAATAATAAGCGCCATTTTATACTTAATATTTAATTAAGTTCATCACCCAATTATTCCATTTATTAATAAATCTGAAAACTCGACTAACTAAATAATAATTGAAATGAAAAGAAAATATTTTAAGATTGATGGAGTTGATTTTATTTCGTAGGAGCAAATTGGTTTGTACAATTTTATTGTATGGTTTGACTTAGATTTTTGAATATAACTTTCATTTTAATACATGGATACATTTATCTTAATTTGTAATTAATTTTAGATTTACAATTTTTATATATATATTTTGTTTAATATTTGCTTTGGATACAATTTGTGTTTTTGGTTTTGCTTATGTATATGTACATGTAGTAAGTAAGTAGGTAAGTAAGAAGATATTTTAATATTAACGATACAATTATTTACCAAGAATTTTAGATATTTTAGATCTATCAAAGAGATTGATAAGATGGTTTCGGTTGCTGTTAACATATTATTAAGATGAATATTATATTTTTGTAGACATATTGAAATTGAGGAACATTTGAGGAAAAATGCAACAATCGTCTCGTCTAAAATGTTTGCATATGCAGAACTGATAAAAAGAATACATTTTAGACAAAAGGATTTGCATTCACAATTTTAATGCTATGCACATACAAGCTTTATTTAAATATGTAAATCACCTGCATGTTTAGCTTTATTTTTTTTGATGGTACGAAATATCACTTTTATTTTCTTTAGTAAAAATTCACGAAAGAAAGCAAACGTTTGCTTCCATTCCAATAGGGCGACAACAAAATGTGTCCGCAATTGAGGGGATACAGAGTGTAGTTACGTTACATTTTGTCATTCATTTGAATTTTCTTCTTCGATTTGTCACTTTGCCGCATCCTTAAAAGAGTATTCACCGTAATAATCTCTAATGTTGGTTGGTCGGTCCTGACTGCCTAACATTTTTAAACTAGTAGCAAGTATTTCCCTAAAAAATCACTAATTTCTTTCAAATAAATATTTTTTGTTTGTACTTTTTTGCTTTTCATTCATTAATAGCATTAATGTAGTATACTCGTATATGAGAGAGAGAGAGAGAGAGAGTTTGCTTGATTTTGTCTTGAGTACCCCAATAATTTTCCGACTGATTTGCTGTTGCATTGCTTATTTGTATGTATATTTTGTTATTAGTTGGCACGTGGGCACAACGATTCCTTTACATTGCATATTTGAAGCAATTACACTGGGTATCCCCCCTGATTCTTTACCGCACAATCGGGCAATATAATTTCGCAAGGCAATCTCTCTGGACAGATCCTAACCACATATTTTGAAAATCTTTGACGAAGAAGAAATAGCCAAATGGGTAGATTGGGAAAAAAAGGCATAAAATGATGTAAATGCCACATAGCTATTATCAAAAATAAATATGTATGTATGCTTATTTGCTTGTAAGTATTTAAAAGTAGATGACTTTAGTAGTGAAGATGCCGTGATGTTGAAAGGTTTCTAAACTTATGTACTCGTATATCAAATATCAATTTTGTTATACTTTCTTTTCCTTTGAAGAGTAAGAAGTTGCCAAACTTTAAAGAAATTTAATCAAATGAAAATAAGAAAACATATGTACATATATGAACTTATGTATATGATATTAATGATTTTTTTGTTGACATAGATATTGTACAAAATACCATTTGCTACCTTGGCGTATGGGAATCGATTCGAAAATGAATTTTACTAGCTCAGTTAAATTTTATAGTCAATGGAAAATATAATAGCGAATAAACTGTTAAGGTCAAACTAATTTTTATAAACATAAATATGCGTACATGCATTTGCCAATAGAAAATAAAAAAAAAAAAGAAAAAAATATTTTCGGATTTTTATAAAAGTTTTCAAGTCGGACCAATGTATGCATATATGTAAGTTTGTTCAAAAAGTGACTTTAGATATTCTTTCAATTTTATATTTTTAGTTCTTTTGTTTTCTTTTGTATTTACCGCGGTCTCGTTGTACTTTTCATTAGTTGTTGTCTGTTATGTTCGATAGAAATGTTGTAATTTCATTTGCATCGGTCTCTTTAACCCGGACATCGTGTCATATTAGCTTGGCCAAATGGGCTGCAAGATTGCTGATTGGGGTGGAATGGTTGTGTATGAAAGAAAGCCTCTGTTATGTGAATAAGGTTGAACTGATGTCGGCTTCGAACTGCGCATGGACGTAGTATGGGTCTGAACGTTTTTTGGGGTTTATATTTTATTGATAGCAATTACAGCGACTGCTGCTGGTTCATAAATTTATGATGCAAAGTTTAAATGTTTGTTCTTGCTTTTGTTGTTTTTGTTGATTTTGTTATTGCTGATGTTGTCAAAGCTCTAATGTTTTGTTGTTTTTGGTTTGTTGCTCAATAGTAATTTCGATGTTGTCGATGAAGTTTTATATATATATATATATATGAATATGTATGTGTTTAAGCAAATGTACATATGTTTGGATATTCGTAATAACAGACATACGTATGTGTATACGTAGTGTATTGGCTTGGAAGATTGTGCAAAACTGCCATTCCGACGTTGAAGCTGATGGGAATCTTTAGCGTATGTTGCTGTATCTTTGCTGGTTTTTTTGTTGATATTTCACCGTAAATACATTTCAGCTGGTTCTTTTGACACAACCACACATTTGTTGTTGTACTAAGTCGTGAAAGTGATTGAGTTTAATTTGTTTTTGATGTTGTAGTTTTTGTTATTTTTTGTTCATTTCGAAACGTTAATTTATATATTGCATACGTTTATTGCTTGTATGTGAATTTGTAAGCAGAACATTTACCCGTATATTAATCCAGAATTTCAAATTTTCTTCAAGAAAACCAACCACATTTTAAGGACGATTTATAAAGGCTAAATATTATTTTTACTTAGTATATTCGATACTTGGGGTGGTTGTACTGACCAACAAAGTGTGGTAGAGGTTATAGTTTTTTCTTTGGGGAAAATAATTCAAAAGTTGTTTTAGATTTGAATTTCATCGTTTCATCATTTGTGTTGTAAGCTCCGTCAACCGTATCGACTTTTTGCTATTCCATTTGAATAAATAATTGAATGAGATTTACTGATTTTGAAATTTTCAGATGTTAAGGCTGAAGAATGTCTGCAGTTGATGACTTGACTTGAAAAAGTTGGTCAATTTGATACGATTACCGTAAAGTTCCGAGAGCAGTTTCATTTGTATGTTTGTTTCATATGCATATTAATGGATTTAAGTAAATTCGAATATTGAAGTATTTAGCTGGTTGGCTGCCGATTGACATACATAATATATGTATTTTATAAATTTAGGTATGCGTAAAGTAGTTTTGTGTTGCTGCGATATTTTTCGAATTTTACACCTAATCAACGCGCAATCTCTCTTCCGAATTTTGCAATGACGCTTTTGCTTAAAATTTCTATGCGATATCCTTTGCCAGATTTCTCGAACCTAAATGTAAAATTTTGTAAAGTTTGTCATGCGGAATTTGCTTTTGGTTATTTTGTTTTCTCTTTTCTCATTGGTAAGATGAGTTTGTCTTGTCTTCGTCTAGCTGCGTTGCTTGCCAAAGTGTATTTTTTATTGCGTCTTTCCGGGGAGATGAAATGAGTTTTGTCGGTCGTACACCAAAGCCAGAGAAGTATGAATTTGAAATTTTCTTGCGTTTCTTGCGTTTGTCGCATAATGACTTCCGTTCTTATGAAGAGCATAATTTATGCCGCTGTTATTGTGTGTAATTATTAAGTGAGCTTAAGGATCACTTTAATGGTGTTTTATGGGCCGCCATTCACATTTATTACCCGCGTTGGCTTAATTTTGCTATTCGAGCGTGCATTAAAATTATATATATTTTTTTTTTGTGTATGAAAAAGTTCTTCCATTTTGTGAATAGTTTCGTATATGCTTGTGAGATTATAAAAAGTCAATGCATTTCTATTAATTTTGTTGCGAATTAATTTTGAATATTGCCGGTATGAATAGTTTTAGTGAGAATTAGAAATCGCAGCCAAATGGTAATTTTTGCCTTGCAATTAAGCTATTAAAGTTATTGGGACATATTTAAATTATTTAAATTTTAAAAATATTTTTTGCTTTTAATTATACTTTTGATTTTGGTGTTGCTGTTTCGAGAGGTATCGTTTGTGCCAAAGTTAAAGGACGTTTTGTTCATGAATTTTGAAGTCTAAAAATAAATTTTTACAATTAGAAATCTAGATACATATACATATTTTTGTCAGAAAAATTTAATTTTATATTAAATAGTTGAATATCAAAAATTATTGAGAAGGGTATAGAATCTAATGTTAATATATTTTTAGAAGAAAGTTTGAAAATCAGAGAGCTTACTTGCTTTCGAGTGTTTTCCGCTATTTATTATTTTTATTTATATTTTAGCAAGTTTTTTATACGATATGCGTATATGATTTAGTTGCCAAACGTTTGCAAAACGATTGCGATTCGATTGCGGTATGTTTGCACGTAATTTCTTAATGGTTTTATAAAAATAAAATTATTAAATTCGATATTTGAACACATATAAAAACTAAAAAAGAATTGAGATTTTAAGAAAACTTTGATTTATATTAAAAAAAAATATGAAAATTTGTTAATGCGCACACATTCAGAAGATATAAAATTGTGCTAATTTTAAAGTTTCAAAACTTCTTATTTTAAGTTCAATTATTTTTGTAAAAAAAATTTATTATAATTTTTAACGTTTTGCATTATGATTGTTTCTAGTGTGCACTATTTAATCGAAAAAGAAATCGAATTTTTCTGCCAATTTGATTAGTTTTTTAATTTAATTTAATTAATTTTTCATTTTTAGCTAAACGTTTGCTAAAGTGATGAGCACACTTTATATTTTATTTCAATTTTGCAATAGATGAAGAGTGCAATTTTTTAAACAAACATGTACTTTTGTATATAGCTTATAATTTTTAAGCTAAAAATTGCCTTAAAAACTTTCAAAATTTTATAAAATGTAATTTTTAGTACTTTAAATAATATAGATATTTGTAAATTTCGTTAATTTTATATTTTCAAACAATTTTAACATAAAAATGTGCTAATATTTAATATTTCACAATTTTGTTATTTTCAGTTCAATGGTTTTGAAATTATCATTTTTATAAAATAAATTTTATTTTATTTTTTCAACTTTTTGTATGATGATTGTATCTAGATGCACTATAATATTCCAATATTTTTAAAAATTAAAATTTTAAGCTCTTTCCAAATGTTCAAAGTTGAAGAAATTTTTTTTCCTCCAATAATAAAGAAATGATTTTTTACGTATTTTTTTGCAAATATGGCTTTCGTAAGTCTTCGAAAATTAAATTTCGCAGAATTATTTTTCGCGTGTACTAATCGAATAGAACAGTTGGTTGCTAAAATTGTTAATTGTTTTAAAATGTTTTATGTTATTGGAACTAAAAAAAAATAGGTTTAAATTAAAATTTAAAAATGAAATTTAAAATTTAGAAATTAATGTAATTTAATCAAAACAGGGTCATATTAAATAAAAATTTTACGAAAAATGGTTTCAGTTATATTGGTTTCTTTTTATAAAAAAATATTTATATTTAATATTCAATTCATGTATTCAAAGATTTTTTGTCTTCAGTTTTTATTAATTTGATAAGTTTTATGTTTTTTAATATAAATTTTAGGAATTTTATTAAATTGCGCATTAAAATGGTTTTTTTTTAAATTACGAAATAAAATTATTTTTTATAAAAATGGTTCTGGTTTAAAGAATTTTAGGAGATTTCTAAGTTTTGCAATAAATTTTCGACTCAATTAACTGATTATTAATTTTCAATTACCGAAAATTTCAGGTTACAAATAGGGTTTCATTTGTTTTCTACTTTTATTTATTTATTTATGGCTTCGATATCTTTTGGAGATTAAATGTTTCGGAGTGTAAGAATTTTAGTGTTTTACTCTGCTTAATTTGGTTTTAGAATGGGGCGAAAATATATCAAAAATAATATTTTCGTAAAACTCATTTTGTTTGCTCATTTTATGAAAATTAAATTTTTACAACAATGATTTTTTGCGATAATAGAAATTTTTATTTTATGTTAAATCTTAAATAATATTTTTGAAAAAACTCAGGAATGTTTTGTTTATTAATTTTATGAAATTTCAAATGATGATTTTTTACGAGAATATTTATAAAATTATTTTTATGTTAAAAAAGCCAAAAGCATCGAATGTAATAATAATTTCGCAACACTCATGAAAGTTTTGTTTGTTATTTTTTCGTTTAGTAATTTTGTGGAATTTAAATTATAAACAATCTTCCATTTGAGTTTTTGGAGATTCAAAAAATTAACATATGTATGTAGCTTTATTCAGTTGAACCGAAAACTAAAGCACATGAAATTTAAAATTCTGAAATTGGTAATGAATTTTTATTTTTTAAATTCTACCAATGATAGCTTTTTTATGAAAAATGAAACTAAAACTTACAAATTAAAATTTTTAAAAATTTTTTAGAAGATAGCGAATTTAAGATTTTGACTTTCATAATTTTTGCCGTACTTAAACGTCTTTAGCAAATTTTTATACATTCAAAAGAGAAAATGAATAATTAAAGTTCCTATTAACGAAAGCTTTCTTCTATAATTGTTGTTAGTTCTTTTAAGACTTTTTTTTTATCTAGTAAATATATAACAATCCGAACTCCTATCATGCGCTGAGTTGCAACTAAAAATTATTTTAAGCTTTTTTTTTGTGAATAAATTTCATGGTTATCTGTGTTTGTGGTTTTGTGTACGCTCTGTAAAAATTTCTTTTAACACTTTGCATCTCTTTCAAGGATCAACAACCGTAAAATAAAAAATTCTAACACCAACGGTTCAAATCACTTGCAGCTTTGCAATTTGTTAAAAGAAATTTTTCAAACAACGCATTGAGATGTAATTTTTCAGTTTGAATTGCCGGTCTATTTCATTCTTCAATGACATCCAGGAAGCGGCTGCCATTTTTATTAGAACTGAATGTATTGGGTGGTGGTGTGAGTGGAGGAAAGTAGACTTTTGAACGGTGGTGGAAATGTTCACCGATAATTTGACGACTTTTGAAGTTTTCGCTAAGTATCAACGTTTAAAAAACATATTTAATTAACCAGAGTAGATAGATATACATGTGTATACAATTAAGACATTTTTTAAACCGTAGCTATTGCAAATGAATTTTGGAAATAATAATTTGGTTGCTTCGCCTGCTTCTCGAATGTCGTTGAAGAAACCGAATGTACTGTTTGATGTGATGAAGAATGTGTTGATATTACTTTTTTCTTATTTTGATAATTTCCTGAAGGGAGAATGTTTTCTATTACAAACTCACAGTTTCTTATTAAAATTTTAAATACAGAAAACTTCGGGTTACAAATAGAGTTGATATCACTCTAAACACTCAAAATGGTTTATAAATTTCGCCATTTTCTAAAGTTAGATACAAATTATAGCTTTTTCACTAGCTCACCTCATGTTTTGAGTGTCCCCGTATTAATTTTTCGTATTGTTGTTGAATTTGGATGAAATTGTTTATATTTTGATCAATAAAAAAATGCCGGTAATAATTTGTCACAGCCAAATCACTTTCCAAAAGTAACCAAAATCGGAGCATTACATTTTGAGTAACAAATTTCGTGTTGCGTGAGACGATGTATTTGTGTGAGAGATGTGTAAGTGTTGGTGTATGTGTGCGTAATTCAAATGCTGTTGCTGATTAACCCCATTTTAGTATTTTGTGCTCTGTGCGAGCGCAATGAGTTAAAGAGTTTTGCCTGTAAGACTTGATGATGCCTTTATCCTGGTCCTCTTGCGTGTCCTTTGCTGGGAAAATTTACTTTTCTCCGTTGTATTGTGGTGGTAGTTGTTGCTGTGTGACGGGGCTCTTTATCTTTGTGTGTGTTTTATCTTAATTCTCCGCTTTTCTCCTGTATATTCCTTGATATAGATAAACAATTTTCGCCGCATGGAGAATGAGTGATATTAGAAATTAGTTTTTTTTTTTTTGTTGAATGTGACTCAAATTTTTTATCTTAAGTTCATTTGCGAGAGTTTTCGATTTAGATATGTTGCTGACAGCATGCAAAAAATGATTTGATGTGGATTTTGGGTTTTGCTTGAGTGCAAAATTTTACGAGAGTCGGGAGTGTTTTTCTTTTTGTTTTGAGTTTCAAGTGATCGTTTGTATTTTTACTGGATTCCTGGGGAGTGTAAAAATGGTTCCTGAAAGAAAAGAGAAAATCAGAAGAGTTAAAAAAAATCAAAAATAGTTTTAAATTTAAGTAATTTATTTATAATTGTATGCATGTATATATAGAAATGTCTAGCTCTACATTTTAATTTCAGAATATCTGTTCATTTAGCACCGACGCGTATTCTAACTATTAGCACGCTTATGTTTTTACAGCATTTAGCTTTTGAGCTCATCCACTTTTTTCAGAATTCATACCTTGCAAAAAAAGCATTGCACAAAAAAAAAACTGAAATGTACCATCAAAATTCAAAAATTCACACTCTCACCGAATTTTTAAACAAAAAAATTCATTCAATTATTTTATGTTCTTTTTTATCGCAATCTACATATGTAAGTCAGTAAGTTCAAAGTTTTGAATTTTGCACACTCACCTGTAAATGTAAAAACATTATATTAGTTTCTTGCTTATAATTCTTCCGATTCCATAGAGTTTATTGTAACAGATTTTTACTTAATGATTTATTTGCTGTATTATTTTTCAATTGAATTAAATTCATTTGTATTGATATTCAAGCAATTATGTATTTATTAGTTACACAGTGAGATTGAATTTTTGTAAACACTGTTTATAGATTTTATTCTTTTATATTTTATTTAATTTTTGAATCGATTTAAAACGTATGAAATTTTATTATATTTCGATGTTTTCTTTCTGTTTGTGATTTAATTATTACTATCAATCTGTCTTTTTATGTTGCACTTTCTGTGTTGTTAAAATATATGCGTTGTCACGGATTGGATGAATTCAAGCCCGTAGACTATGCGAATGTACCAACACCTTATGACAGGATCTACATGATCCTGTCGCGATGACGGAATACGCTGTGATCTTGACTGATGATGAAGGTTTGAAGATCGAAATGAAACTGATCGTAATTGCGCAAAATGTGCGCCTTATAAAGCGCGAAAATCAAGCAACGATAGGCGCATAGAACTAATACACATTTGGCAAGGATATTCGCATAGGTTGAGCACAATGAAAATATTGTGTGAACGTGGTTGTAATTATTTCATTCATATTGAAACTTGCAAATCAAGTTTATTGTAGCAAAACAGCAGACCACAGCAGAATGTCATAAAAGTTGAATGCTTTTTCTCGGCGTGCATCGTGAGGAAAAGGTGTGCGTTTGGTGGTGCAAATACCAATACACATTCGCTACGCATAATCTTTATTTGTGTGTATGTGTGTGTGTGTGTGTGTTTGAAAGCAATGATATTTTATTGAAAGCACACCTGGACCAAAAGCTGGACCAGCATCAATTACTGATACTCGTGTTCGCGAACAATAGCAGCATAGATGAATTGAAACCAGTTATGCTTGTTGCATGGCAGGGTAACGGTATTTTAATTTAACATCCTTGACCATTGAACTGCCTGCATCTACAGAAGCAGTACAGAATAAATAAAAAAAAAATAGGTATCAAATGATAGAAAAAACTATTTTATCTTTTGGGATAAAATGCATAAAATTGTTTTGTCTGACATAAACTATTTTCCTGTCACCATGAGAAAAAAATTCGCAGTGCACTTTGGAACATCTTGAATCAACTGTACATTTAGGCTTTTTAACTTAGTTATAAACATGAAAAATTTCTGAATATAATGTTGCCATGGAGACACTTAGAATCTAGATATACGTACGTATTTAATATCTTGGCGATATTGAAGTTATCTATATGAACACATTCGAAATCCCTTTTGGTAATGGTATGGTCCTCCCATGTCAAGAAATTCACACAAATGACGAAAAATTTTGACTGGCATTGACCTGAGAGTGGTCGAAAAAGTTTCTTTTACATATGTTCAAGCAGCTCACGACTTCCTCTTCTAGACCAAGTGTTCTCTGGGTTGTCAACAAACTTGCGTCTGGAGTCAAGACTAATAGCCCAGTGGTTGTTTGTAGGGTTTGGGATTCACCCATAAAAAATGTACTGCATAAAAATTATACAATCTCGCCGCGGATGGAAGAAATCTCTTTTGAAGGCAACTCCTACAAATGTTTTAAGGCTCCAGATTTGAGAGTATCCAGCTGAAATGTCCGGAATGATGTGATTACTGATTGCACCCGCTACCATGTCAAAATTGTGTTTAGCGACTCAAGAGTCAGAGTGTGAAAAGAAGGTATTTTTGACACAAGTGTCGTGAAATTCAGCCTCCGTGACGATACATTCTCAATCGGTTGTTCCGTAAAAGAAAATTCATCAAGATACATGGTTGCCGTCGGATTGAAAACCTCGCAAGCAAATCGATCATGTTGTGATTGACGGACATGTCCCCTGTATTCAAGATGTGCGTAACACTTTTGTCGCAGGGAAGATACGATGATGATGAGAAAAGGGTTATTTTACGCGACTTGATAAGGTTCAATTATTGATCGCCGACTTAAAGAACAACATATCTGTTGAAGGCGTAGAACTGACAAAGTTCAATAATAGCTTCTTTGCTGAATTTGATCGGACGGAAGCACTGAGAACGATCAGAAACGTAGTGTGCTCTGTCAAATAGGATCCTACATAGCGTATTGTGTGGAAGATTAAAGACATTGACTAGATATTCAATATGCATCAAAACAATGCAGCTTTATTTATCAGGTGCACAACTTTGCTTCCGCCGTTTTCCGATAGGTGGCTATACCGGCTGAGGCTGGTTGAAATACATAGATGATAAACCATCACAGGAGATCGCTACCGACCGCAACTGATGCGCCTTAGTCGCCCGCTAACAGAAAAGTGGACACAATATCAAGAGCGACATGACAAAGTCATCCTCCAACACGACAATGCTCAGCCTCACATCGCAAAAGTGGTCAAAAAGTACCTGGAAACGCTGAAATGGGAAGTCTTGCCCCACCCGCCGTATTCCCCAGATGTCGCCCCTTCTGACTTCCACCTATTCCGTTCGATGGCACACGGCCTGGCAGATCAACATTTTCAATCCTTCGAAGAATCGGAAAAATGGATTGCTTCATGGATAGCGTCAAAAAAGGACTCCTTTTTTCGATCCGGGATCCGAAAATTGCTAGGAAGATGGGAGAAAGTTGTCGCTAGCGAAGGACAATACTTTGAATAATATATCTGTAAGCATTTTTTCGCAATAAAGCTTTTAATTAAAAAAAAGGCGGAAGCAAAGTTGTACACCTAATAGTTAAAAAAAAAATTTAATTTCGAATACTTTTTTTAATTTCAAAAATTATTTTTAAATTAGCCTTTCTCTTTTATTTTTCAATTGGCTAGTTATTGAGTCGAACTTTAAAAAAAAAATTATTTATGAAATACAAAAAAAAGAAAATGAAATCGGAGGAACATAAAAGCGAAAGTTTCATGTGTCCTTATTTCTAGCTTCTAGGGCATCTTCTGACTTTTTCCCTATTGGAAGTGGAGCAGTTTTGATAATGTCAACTCCATGTATCAGAATTTTATACAGAGAGCAGGATATATAAAACTAGAGATATTTATTTGACAAAAAGCTTTGCTGCTTGTAAGGCATTCTTCTCAAACGCGGGATCATTAATTTCGGAAACAGAATAACACTTAATCAAAGAATCAACTCTTCACAGACTCCAGTAATTTCAGATGCCAATTGTGGCTTTGTACAAGATTCTGTTGTTGCCATCATGAGCTCATCACCCGACGTTTGGTCAATGATGTTCGAAACGTTTTCTAATTGTATTTAGGGGAACATTTTAATGTTTCTGAAAGCTCCCTGAAGTCTATGGTGGTTAAAAAAGAAGAGTGAGTTATTCAACTAGTTTCTACTTTGTTTTCTAATTGATTGGAGATGGTGATGGCTCTGCTTCCATCTTTGAACCAATTTTGTTATGAAGATGCTAATTTTTTATGTACATAATATTATCAAATATATAATATATATTTATTTATATATATATTGACTTATACCTTTTACAGTGCAAGCGCTCGCTTTTCCATATATGGAACAGTACCCGCTTTTGTATCGACATGATACGTAAATCGTATATTATTATTAAAATATAACAAAAATTACATAAAATTTTGACATTTCACGATCACAACAACGGAGAACAGCGGTGATTGAAAATTATATCTAAGGTAGTCATAGGTTATGAAAATTTAAGATGTTGGAGGTGAATATACATTAATACAAACCTCAAAATTTATTAAAAGCAACTAATTTTATTTTTTTTTGGGAAAAACCACTATTTTATGGGGTTTTCAAAATACACGGTAATTTGACTGGAAAGCTCTGTGAACCGTGCGAAAATAAATACATTTATTGACTTTGTAAGCTCACAGCTATGTGAATCGAAGGTAATAAGGACTATCAAATTATTCAGTGTGAGGGAATGACGCGCTATTGCTTATTCTTCTATAGTTATGTAAGCGGTGCCTCCGACCACAAAGAAGAAGATTTGTATTGGAGTTATTCATAATCGACGACCGTGCATTTAGAAACTTCAGGAGAATTCTGAAGAAAAATATTGTAAATGCAACTGAGGACTATTATTATGCCCCTTAATCACTTTGTAGTGAGCCTATGAATGTTTGTCAATGTGTTGGTTAATATTATATATGTATATATACAAAGTTAATTGAAGGAATATGACAAAGTGACACTTCTCAAGCTGAGTGTAAGTACTCTAAGTCCACAAAACTCATCCATTGTCCATAGTTCTGAGTTTAGCTTACTATTAAATACTAGTCTTGATGTCTTACCAACAAATAAAGACCTACAATTTAGGCCATTAATAAATTTAAAATTTCACCTAATAAATTTATAATTATTTTATTTTAATAAAAATTAACTTTCACTGAACAAATTTTATTTGTATTATTTGTATAACCGCGGATGCTGGCACAAATTTAACCAATACTTGATAAAATTTTCAAATTTCTTTGATTAAGAATAAAGATTAAGATCTACAACTCGCCTCCTGTATCCAGCAGAAGCCTGCTCCTAAACGAAATCCAATGGGTTTTCGAAAAAAAAAAAATTATAACCCTCCAGCTATGACTGCTCAAGCATTAACAATCATAACCAATTGATGCGATCGATTGTAGCTCGTCGGGTGCGAAGCATAAGAAAAAACTAAGATTTTATTTATATACCTGAGTAGGATAACCTTATATAATACATCTTAGTTATATGATGCTACACAACATTATTAGGTTATGAAGTGGGTTCAGAGGATATCATGTGATACGTTTTATGTAAACTCGGAGATAATAGTGCGACCAATAAAGCTAAACTGACAAATTAAAAGGTGTTATGGACAGATTCATGATGAAGAAGAATATGAAAAATCATTGTATTTATTATTTTCTGAAATAACAGATGCCTATTGAATCAAAAACAGACACAGTGTTACAATTGTGTTGTGTGGACGGGTTATGGGAAAATGATTTTCAATATGAAACGATATATATATACATATATTATTGGCGTTTTGTAACTGCTCAAGCGATTTTGAGTCGAGCTTCTCCTTTAATTTGTGGTTTTACGTCTTGATGTTTTTCCAAC